ACACCGACCTTCTCTTCAAGCTCGTAAATGCTCTGTAAAAATCTGATTATACAGGTAATTTTAGTGTGAGATTTTGTGGAGCGGGTTTGCTTGCATCCCCTAATGGTCTGGACTAGTCTTTTTTCATTGGGTTGCAATTTGGTTGACGTTTAATTTGACTCGAAATGTAGGGCCGTAGCCCTTTCCATGAATAGCCAATCTGAAGAAAACAAACTACGAATTACACCATTTACTTTCTTCTTCATCCCTCTCTCCGTCCTCTCTCTGTCTCTGTGTCTCTATCCCTGTCTCTCTCTTTCTCTGTCTCTCTTCTCTTTCTCTTTTCTCTCTCTTTTTTTCTCTCCCTTTATATCTCTCTCTCTCTTTCTCTCGTTCTCTCTCTCTCTCTTTCTACTCTCTCTTTCTCCCTCTCTTTCTCTTTTTCTCTTTCACTTTCTCCCTCTCTTTCTCTTTCTCTGTCTCTGTCCATGTCGGTCTCTCTCTTCCCTTATATCAGCTACCTCTGTCTACCTTTCATTATCCATAAACTGTGATAAATGCAGAAATGAACCTTAAGAAGAAAAACAAAAATCGTCTAGGATTTGCTGAGGAGGACATTACATCCCGATGTATACACACAAATACTTGTATCAATACGGCACAATTCTATTCTTTCCATTAAGTCAACAATGTATTCGACCGGAGTCTTATTTCGGCGCCTTTTCAACACTATATGAAAGTGATTTCAAAAGAACCCAATACAGCGATGGCTCATCCGCCTCGATGCCTGGACGGGCGTAAGGTACATGTTACTGAATCTTTTTCAGGGGATTGGGGATATACTCTGTCCACCTCTGATGCCTAGAAATGATGATGATGATGACGATGATTATGATGATTTACAGCATTTATATGACCATAGCAACCATGGACATTAATTTTTAAATACAAATTCTTATATTAAACATGTCAAATAAGCATGACCAATCTTATCATTTATGAATAAACGAACAGAAATGATGAACTCAAAGAAATACGGTTAAGATTTGTACTCAAATCCATACAAAATAGCAGCACTTTTTGCCGACTAAAAAGGAAAGAGGATTGGGGGGGGGGGGGGTGTTAGCCCTTATGTTCCATCCCCGTATCCGCCTTTTTTAGACTGACGCGTTTGTGGTTTTGGATCCCACTGAATGTTGCCCTACTTCATTGTTAGGGAATCTAATACACTATAATCTTGTTAATGATATTTGCCTATTGTAACAGCAGCGTCGAATTACACATCCTAGTATTTATACAACAATTTTGTAGATTCCTTATCCGGGTTAGTGCCAGCGTGTATCGGTGTATATGGCAGCAATGATCCCTATACACTAATAGAAGCGAGTAATTTACAAGTATGATCGAGATATTAGTGTGGTGTGTATTTTCTTTGCTATTAAACTAGACCTAGACATTCGGCTTGTTTGGATATTCGATTATGGTGATAGTTTGTGTTAATATTCGGCTGTGGTGATGTTTTGTTTTGATATCGTTAATTGGACGGACTCTAGCGGCTATTTTTTTATAATTCCCCCGGGGAGGATTTACTTCGTGGCAGTTATTTTTGCATAAAAGTAAGTGTAAAATTATTTTCGTGTTCTTTTCCTTTTTTGTTGTTGAAAGTTGTCTCTGATAATCCGAAGGGTTTCCTAGCGGGATGGATCGAGAGTGATTTGAGCGGTTGCCTCTATTTTTTGTTCCATTCGGATAATCGCTCGAACAATTTTTCTCAAAATCTCAAGAATTATGGCGAATGATTATCGCTTATTATCGCTATTATTAGAGACAGCAGTGTAGCTACGGAGGGGAGGGGGGGGGGGGGGGGAGGGAAGGTATGTATGGTTTATGCCTCCAATCAATGTAAGAAAAGTCATATAAATACAGAAGACATGGTGTTGCAACTTGAAAAAAAGACAATACCACCCCTTCCCGCAAATGTTTACAAGCAGAATAATATGAGACCGCATTTATCAAGCTTTATTCCAATTTCCTTTTCGATACCATTTTCATTAGACTCGTGCAGCGTGGGGTCGTTAATACGCTGGAGTAGAAATCGGGCCAACAGGTTCAAAACGTTAGCGAATGAAGAAAAATAAGCTAGGCAGAGGGATTTATAGCTAATCTTAAGCTCTGGTATGGGGATCGTATTTTGAGAGAAAATCGCCATGATATGTTCTGGAATAATTATCCTGCAGTATAGATTGGTTGTTTGAACCAGTGAAAAAAATAAACGCACAACAACTCACATTTGCACATAGTGACTGACCTGGCACATGGTGTCGGACCTAGTACTCACCTTACTCAGCCACTATACACTTTCTACCAAAATTGTTTGGCAAATGTCATTTATTTGTAATCTTGAACATTCAGTATAAGTATCGTTTGATTCTGTGAGAATTTATTTTCTATATTTACCAGAACTCAAGTTTATCTTGAACCTCTCCTATTCGGTTACAAAGGTCGGTCAATTGGCAATACACTCTAAAATAAATAACTTGACGGCACGCGTTTTGCTATTGTTAATATTAATCAAAACCTCATTAACAAATTAATGTCTACACACCTTTTCTCCTTGTGTTAATTGGAAAAGCCCCGGGCGAGGTCGCATGACGTCATAGGCAACTTATTTATAATTTATGTGCCTGTTATGTGTAACTACTCTGGGCTATTAGTCTGGCGTTATCATATCATCCAAAACCTGAAAGGGCGCTGAGAAGGAGGGATGGGCGTCCCCCATTCAACAATTCTTTTATAAGGAAAATATAGATTTTTCTTTTAAAAGCAATGCCCGCAAAACTATTTTTGTTTCCTTCTATATGTGTATTTTTTAGTCTCTTTCAGTAAATCTGAAAATAGATAAAGAGAAAATATCTCGTGTGTGCTCGTTGGATTATTGTTTGCTAACCTGTCGGCACTATTATGGTCTCACACTCCTTCCCCCTTGCACTTGACTAGATTAGAATCATCATCAACTACAACTACAACAACAACAACAACAACAAATCACATTGTGTTAAAGAGTTTACACAACAACATACAAACGAAAGGTTGAACATTTATTATATACTCACATCTTCCTTCAGACATTTAAATGCTAATTTTATTGAAGGAGCTCGCGCCTTTGAATTGTTTTTGAAACAGATATATGGCGCCATACAAAATAATGCTGTTCATCATCATCATCATCATCATCATACTCTCTAAAAAAAATCGAGTGATCACGGACGTCACTCCTCTGGAGAGTGAAAATGTAGTGAAAATAGAGTGAACATTCACTCTTTTCTTCTTAGAGAGCACTCTAAAATCAATCGATTTTCACTCCTAAACAAGTGACCACGGACGTCACTCCCAAGAAAGTGAAAATAGAGTGAAAATTCACTCTTTTAAAAAAAGTATATTTAAGTATATATTTTTTTGAGTATACATATGTAATATGTATGTAGCCTGCAGGGCCGTTGTATTTATGTAGACTTGCATGGCCGTCAAATGATCTATGTTTATGTCTCAATCGTTTCCTTATTTATAAGATTAATGAATGTTTGCTGTGTGTAATGTCATATTTCATGAGGAAGGCCCGCTTTGGTAGCGGTGCATATTGCACGACTCCCTGCTAAGGGTTTATTGTATCACGTCCGATACATCCAGTTTCTTCCATACACATTGTAATACATCCACTGACATATCCAGACGATGATAAACAAAGGGAGGGGATGGATTTGTATAAGGACACAAAAGCGCAGCGCGAGGGTGGGGAGGGGGAGGAGGGGGGGGGGGGGGGGTTGAAATGAAAATTATGTTTAAACACTTGGGCAAGTTTTACGCAATCTGAGACAAACGATTTGTTATTTATTGCTACCAGCATGGCTTATATTGTTTGTGTTGTTTGTTTTTTAGGCAGAAGAGGCAACCCTGTAACACAATGGAAACAAAATTTAAAAAAAGTTATTTTGAAAAGTGATTATTATTTTTCGCATGGTACTAAAGACGTGGGGGAGGCGTCGCCACCTGCTGGATTATGCCAATTGCCAGAGGATTTAAAAACAAATTAAAAACGAAAATGTATTGAAAGATATTAAACTGAGTGTCATATCTAATCTAAAAGGTTCTAAAATTCTATTCGATCACTGAAAACCAAAGTGCAACGCAACTTACAAATATACATCAGCAGTGGAAATCCATTAAGCTTTTACAATTTATCGATAAATAAAACGTAATCACCTTATTTCAATCGCCAAAAGACAATATATTTATGTTGCATTGATGGTTAGCCTTATAGTATAGTGATAAAACCAGGGCCCCATACCACCAAACTTGTCATCAGTGACAAATGACAGTTTATGTTATAAGCTAGTAAAATCCTTGCTTCTGATTGGTAATTAGCAGATTTGTCACTGATTGTTGTCATTTGTCATTGAAAAAAGGCCCTGTGAAACGGGTCCCCGAGGGCAATGTGTTTCATTACTGGCAAAACAAGATCAAACATTTTAAGCCTAATTGACATCTCTGTCATTTACCATTTGATAAATGATTCGTACAAGATCTCATGAAGCTTAATTTGTTAATACCAAAGTCTATGTATATTCCGTCGTCCTCGAACAATTAATGAGGGAAGCTGATTATTTCAAAGGATCGGGTTATTATTTCAAGCTCATGAGTTCCCATTAAAGATTTATCCATTTTTTTTCTTCATATATTTATTCGAAAAAAAACTATCATTGGTTCAATCAGAAGGTATAGCGTTCCAAAGGATCATACTCCCGAAGGTTTATAAATCCAATAATATAATTTTTGTTATGTTCCTTATTCCAAGAGTGGAATCGCGTTCATAATTGCGAAGATGAAATAGTACATCCCTATGTAATATTCACAGTCCATGAAACCGACGATTACGTTCTAATATAGTGAATCTTTAAAAGACGCAAGACAGATACACGAATGTTGATCTTATGGTTTTTTGGCCTTGGTGTTTTGTCAGTCTTTTATTCTGTCGGTCTCATGATCTGTAGGTTTCGTGATCTTTCGGTCTCGTGTTCCGTCGATCTTATGATCTGTAGGTCTTGTATTCTAGGTTTCGTGATCTTTCGGTCTCGTGTTCCGTCGATCTTATGATCTGTAGGTCTTGTATTCTGTAGGTTTCGTGATCTTTCGGTCTCGTGTTCCGTCGATCTTGTGATCTGTAGGTCTTGTATTCTGTAGATTTCGTGGTCTGTCGGTCTCGTGTTCCGTCGATCTTGTGATCTGTAGGTCTTGTATTCTGTAGGTTTCGTGATCTTTCGGTCTCGTGTTCCGTCGATCTTGTGATCTGTAGGTCTTGTATTCTGTAGGTTTCGTGATCTGTCGGTCTTGTTATCTTTCGGTCTCGTGTTCCGTCGATCTTGTGATCTGTAGGTCTTGTATTCTGTAGGTCTCATGATCTGTCGGTCTTGTGATCTGTAGGTCTTGTATTCTGTAGGTTTCGTGGTCTGTCGGTCTCGTGTTCCGTCGATCTTGTGATCTGTAGGTCTTGTATTCTGTAGGTTTGGTGGTCTGTCGGTCTTACGTGATATAGCCGGTGAAGAAGGGGCAATTGTTTTATTATTAGTTAGCATCCCCCTTTTCATGAAAGTTGTAAATCTTATTTGCTAAATATGTTACCGTCTGTAAGACATTTTGGAAAAAGGTTTGCAACTTCAAAATGATGAAGAAGAGTAATGTAACTAGTTCAATGAGTGTAAATATTATGAAATGACGAGTAAAGGTTACGTTTGAAATCCCCCTCCTGTCCGTAATGCATTAAACAAAATTAATATATAAAGACGCCTGTGGTTAAAAAGGCTTTTACAATAATAACTACAGTAATAAATATTACGTCTATAATAAGGATTTAATCTTAATACATTACTGAAAAATGCATTTCTATATTAAAAAAATTGAGGAATACATATAAGAAAAGTTAGAGAGGGTATACACATATATGTTTCAGTGCCACTGGCAATATAAAGGGCAACAATATTTCATGATATATGTTGGAAACATGTTTCAGATTTGAGACATTCATCAGAATCATCATCATCAACCTAGTTTCCTATTTCTCGAGGGAGAATGGGATGGGGAGGGGGTTGGGGCAGTGCATGGTGAAGCGTGTAGCGAGACATTAAAGGGGTACTATTATCAGGGGAGGGGTGCACTAGTTTTACTAGTTGAATGAAAATCAAAAGATCAAGACCGTTAAGGGGTGTGATAAGCGTCTGGAAGGGGGTGCATAAACCATTATGCGTTTTTTTGGTTGCATTCCATCTCTTTCTATCTCTTTCTTCTTTTCGTTTTAATCTTCTTCTTCTACTTCTTCTTCTTCTTCTTCTTCTTCTTCTTCTTCTTCTTCTTCTTCTTGTTCTTGTTCTTCTTTTTCTTCTTCTTCTTCTTCTTCTCGTTCTTCGTCTCTCATTTTCTTTTGCTTTTGTTGTTGTTGTTGTTGTTGTTGTTCTTTTTCTTCTTCTTCTTCTTTTACTTCTTCTTCTTCTTCTTCTTTTTTTTCTTCGTCTCCTTCTTTCTTCTCCTCTTCTTCTTATTCCCCCTTTTCTTGTTCTTTTCCTTCCTTATCTTCTTTTTCCTTCTTCTTTCTCTCTCTCTCTCTCTCTCTCTCTCTTTCTCTTCCCTTCCCTCCTCCCTCTCTCTCTCTCTCTCTCTCTCTCTCTCTCTCTCTCTCTCCCCCTCTCTCATTTCTTGTTCCGCCATTCCCTGGGTCACGGGGGACGTGTCCCCTATAAAGTGCCCCTTGTGGCTACACCACTGGGTGGGGCGTCTTGTTATATACTGCTTCCTCCATCATACAGTCTATTAATCTCCTCCATCCATCTTGTCTTCCATGTCATCCGAGATGCCTGCCTTCCATTCATCATCTCCAAGGCCCTTCTCCATTCCTCATTGTCTCTGTCTGTTCAGCCGCGACTAACCAACAGACACACAAATTAATGAGTTCCAGTCCAGATTGTCTACATGAAAGTGGAGATTCACTCGTATAAATATGAATAACACGATGGAAAAGACTTTCAAAAAATCAACCTGGGTAATTTCAAAAGCCCTTTCCTCACATGATTAGAACATGATTTCTATTGTGTAGGGTGTAGCAGTTTTGTAACTGAAAATGGTACCGTGTAAAAATAAAACAAACAAAATAAAATAAAAAGATAAATATGAATATACAAATTGCCCTTTGCGATTGTGTTAAACGCGGATTTGAAATATTACGATTCTTTATATTTCGTGAAACAAACATAATAACAAAATAATAATCTCCTCATCAAAAAGCTAACCAAAGTCTTAATACATGAAATGTTAAACGTTCATTAGAATTGATTTATATTTTTAAATGTTCGGAGTCAGAAAGGGGTGGGATGTACACAGTTGCACTTAATCTGCTCCGTAGACATTTAGTCTATCTCTCTGCGGTCAAAATACTACACGAACCAAGTTCCGAGCTTGTCCTTAGACCCAGCAATATACTTTAATATAACTCTAACGCTAAACTCAACCTAACCTAATAAATTGCAACCCTAGCCCCAACTCATGGCTTTTATTCTACTAAACGTTAAAACCAACGCTGACCTTAAGCTTTTGTTCTGCTTCGGTTTAACAAATAAACGATGCCAGTCTGGAGTCTAACTTTTCCATTTTCAAATGTGATCTCAGACTCAATTAAGGCTGGGTTTTAATCAAGTTGAGCAAAATATGGACCTTCATCTTTGACTAAATAAAATCGAGAGCAGTTGGTGCTGTTTCACAATTATGTCGAATCACCATACCCCCTCCATGTATAGGGCAATCAGGGCAAAACAGAATACCGAAAGTTTGAAATAGGAACAATAACAAGAGAGATATGAACGTTTGAAATATGGGATCACTACAGCTATTTTGCCAGTCGGTTTTGACGTAGAGACGGAAAACTCTCCCGTTTGTCGTGTACACTCAACTTGAAGTTCCAATACGTACAGTGACTACAACTTTCACAAATTCTGTTTGTCCGATTTAATTCAAAATGTCATCAGTCTACTTCTCTGATTTAGATTTGTTTGCTATTAAAGATAAAAGTGAGTTCTGGTCATGCGATTGCATTGTGAAAGAAAAGGTGTGGAATGGACCAGAAAAGGATGATCATGTAGCATGTAAGTATTGGTGTGTACTGCAAGGTTCTGGAGTCATCAAAATCATAATAAATTTGACCGAGTCTTGGTAAAGTAACAAGCACTGTATACAGAAAGATGTATATGGGACTACACAAATGGCGTCTGGGCTACTTACCTTGATTTCCTTATCTTTCTATGCTCATTACTCAGCCAATATACATTTTCTACCAAAATTGTTTGGCAAATGACATTTACTTGCAATCTTGAACATTCAGTGCAAGTTCCGTTTGATTCTTTCAGAATTCACTTTCTTTCTTTTTTAACCAGAACTCAAGTTTATCTTGAAGGTTGGATATCCGTTTTAGCAGGTTGCGTGCAAAAAAAAAAATCGCATACGATTATCCGATATCTGATAGGCCATGAATATTGAGTGTCGCTTAACTCACCTTTATGTTATCCAATATTTTTGACAGGGTAAAATTGAGTGAACGGAGATACACGATCTTAACAGAAATAAAAGTGATCAAAATGTGCGGGATCTTGTCGTATTTGATACACATATAGGCTCTAAAGTGTAGAGGACAATCTGCAAATAATACTTCTTAATCAATTGCATTGGCGAGAAATCAGCATTGGAACAAAATGAATATCTAAATATCATGTGAAGGCAAAGTAGGTGACTTGATAATAATACATCGGAGGAAAAATCTTTCACCATTCCCAGAACTCATTACTTTGAATTTAGAAACGAAAATTATATGTTGGCCTAAATCAGTCTTTTATTTTCCGTTCTGTCTTACTCATGTTGTACTTTTTGTGAATTAAAGTGCTTTCATGAGAATTAAGCTTTTGCACTATTGCGCATTGAACCTTTAATTTCAAGTGGATTTGGCGCCTTACCAATCTTATAAACTATCATCACCATCATCCTCATCATCTATTGCTCTTATGATGGTGACAATGGTGATGATTATCACTATTATTATTATTATTATTATTGTTGTTATTACTATTACTATTATCATTATCATTATCATCATCAATATTATCAACATTATTGTTGTTGTTGTTATTATCATCATCATCATCGCTTAGTGCAGAGCTGGGGTGAAATAGGCCCGACTAATTGAACCGAATATAAAATTCTGAGTTACTGCCATTTATATGAATTAATAATTAGTTTAATCATTTTCTGTTCTTCGTATTAGCTTTATTTGTCGAATGCGCGCTTGCCGTCATCGTTGACCTTCTCCCCCTTTGAGTTGTTGCTCCCCTCATCATTTTCTTTCGCTCCAGCTAGTTCGAATGGAGTTCGGCCTCTTCATCCAATTACTCTCAAACTTAATGAGTCAGTTTGGGATTACTTTCCCGCGATTAATCGTTTTGTTTGTATGTGTGTTTTGTTTGGAGTAATTTACTTAAATGTTTGATGTTCATTTGATACGATCCGTACTCTGCGTATGCATCGAACCGAATGTATTCGATCGCTGTCTCATTAAAGGTAAAGACCAGTATTGGAAACGCCCCAATTTCCAAAAATGAAATGGAAGCTCTCGTTACCAATCATGTGAAAGAATATGTTTTGACTAATACATGATGATAAAAAATTTGCCGGGAAACCGCCTACTAATTCATATATTTGGTAAATTTGTTTCTCTCATGGTCTGTGAGAGATATAGGGTAGTCCCATATACATCTTTCTGTGTATAGTGCTTGTAACTTTACGAAGAATGGGCCAAATTTCTTATCATTTTGATGATTCCAGAACCTTGCATATGCTAGATGCTAGATGATCAACCTTTTCTGATCGATTCCACAACGTTTCTTTCACAATGCAATCGCATGACCATAACTGGTCTTTACCTTTAACCTTCAATATGTCGTATAATCGCAAACACCACGAACAAAATAGGACAAGTATAAAACAAGGCCACCTGTTAGGTTCCAAACAATCTCCGGCAACCAAAAATGAAACCCCCAAAACCCCCAAACAATGATACAGTAAATTAATAAATAAAGAAAATAACATTAAAAACAACGAGCAAACAACAAACAAAAATAAAAAAAGACCAAACGTAAACAAACAAACGGGCAACAAATTGAAAAGAGTAATATTAAGGTTATCGATTCGGCCGCCCACCTCCCCTCCATCCATCCATCTGTGCATAGAACCATGTCCATGATAGAACGCAGTCAATTATGAAATTATGGATTGACGCCTATGCATTTGCGACAGTGTCACGCCCAAGTACTGTGAAGTCTGATAGCTGTAGCCAGCATTATAATTTCTTTGTAAGGATTAAAATCGTTTTTATCATTTTAATTGGTATTATTTGGGACGACGTTGTAATTCTAAGTCATCATAATTAATTATTCATAGCATCACAATCATGTCGTACTCAAATTATGATATCGTCATAATAATTTGTTTTTGCCAATGTATACATGCACACACAGAAAATGAAGTGGCCAATTCCATCACATTA